TATCCACCTATTGAGTCCTTCCCAAGGACCTGGGATAGGCAGATGTTATTGTTTGATGTTGTTAAATAATAACAACAACAACAGAAGGATGGTTGCAGCCTACCATGGACTTTCCCATACCATGGTTTGTAGCTGTTAAGGCTACCACATCTGAACAGGATGACCACTAGATGGTAGCAAAGGGACATGGAAAACTCCTTAGCAATCTGGATTTTTTCAGCTTTGATCTGGTAACTGTAAGTGTAGTAAAAATGTACTTTCCTGTGTCACTTGAAAGCCTTATGAAGGAGGTGATGTCCATCTATCTGAAATCAGACATTTTTTTCTGAACTGACATAGAATAACAAAATGTGGTGGTTGTTCAAAATTGAGTGATTGATTATGTGCATGAAGTTGGTGTCAAATCCTAGCAACCAGATAGAAAGTTTTTCTGAGGAGAAAAATTAAGTACTACTGACTTAAATAAAGCATCACTGATCTCAGTGGGGCTTGCTACTGTTACTATGTATACAACTGTTCTACTTTTTAAAAAAAAATAATGGGTAAATAATAGTATGAATACTTGTATTAGTGAATTGCTAATCAATTTTTTAAAACATTTGACTTATTCCAAAAGAGATTTGAATTGTCAAAAATGCAGGATGGCATTTTAATTGTATTTAAATTAAATCCAATTAAATCCAATTTAACTTTACAATTTAGTCCAGACACATTAGAACATATAGTCAAAGAATATTTTTAAAGAAGATAGCAGTTACAATATTTGCAAGAATTTTGAAATAAAGAGTTGAAATATCCCATATAGACAAATCAATGGTTAAGGGCCTTAAACAATTTTAGGTATGTTTCTTATGACTTTAAGATTAGATTCATTCAGAAAAATACTTTTTATGGTCAATCTCTTCAGATTGCTAATGTAAAATGATGGAAGGAATACTTACACATATAACATGGCCTTTCCATCCCATCTTGGTTAATATTAACAAATTTGTTAATGTAGTTTTAACGATATATGATTTAAAGTTGTGAATGTGATTTTGAACTACATACCAAAAATTTGCTGTTTTTCAAAACACTGAAATTGCTTATGGGACATAGCAAAAAAATCTATTTTCTTACGCTGGGAAGACTCCACTACCACAAGTTTACAGTCTTGGACTGATATGGGTTTGCTCTTTACTTATAAACTGGCTATCAATGAAATGGAAATAATGATCAATACTATTTAGCATTGATCCCTCTTGTTCGACACTCTCTCTAAGCTCAGAGAAGGAAATCCGAAGTATCCAATGTGGAGCCTCTTCAGAGGCCTTAATTTGTCTCCTAAAAGGAACTGGTCATTCTTCATCATGGTTTGTTGATAACTGATAAAAGACCATTTTTATACAACTCTTATCACAGTGCTAAGTTCATAGGCTGGTTTAATTTAGCCTAAATTTGTAGTGTACAAAGCACACCAACTTCTTCTTCTATTGTCTTTTACTGGATACCATCAATGGTATTTGGTCTTTTGATATTACTATCAGAAATAAGAATCTTGGCTTTTTTGCCCAAATATGAACATAGAGTTTTCTGTCAGGATGTGTATCATTTTCCAGTGCTCAGTTTCCCCTGACTCTTTCCTTGTGTAAGTAGTTGATATTTCTCATTGCATATCATATGTCCTAAATACTAGTTTCTTTTTTGTTTTTTTATGGTATTCATACATTAGGGGTTTTTTGCCCTTTTTTTGAGGCAGTGCCTCATTTTGTACACATTCAACTCATGATATTTTAAATAATCATCTATAAATCCAAGGCTTCTATTCTGCTGATGTCTTCTGGGTCACTCTCCATGCCTTTATCTCATGTAAAAGAACTGACAAGACCTAACATTGTACAATTTTACACCAATGAAGTTCCAGTCTTAAGCCCCAAAATCAAATAAACTGACTTATTTTTCGAAAAGTTATTCTTGTCTGTTCAATCCTGTTCCATCTGTTCAATTCTGCTATGAATCCAATTATAATTCAAAATACAGCTCAGACATTTATATTGTCATATCTTCACACTTGTTTTTCTGTAAGCATAGTATTTGGTTCAACAGACATACTGGGTATCAACATATATTTACATAGAATGTCTCAATGCTTGTCTCAGTCATCACCTTATATTAATCTAAACACATCAATCTTACTATTATATCTCTGTGGGCATTTCCAAAGCCAACTTCTCACTGCCTGCAGGCATTCACAGGGTTTCATCTTGTTCTCAGTGGAAGAATGCCATTTCCCTGCTAGATGGGATTCACATTCTAATATGGAATGTGACAGGCTGTTTGTCTAAAATAACAGGATTGTACCTGTTTGGCAATCAGTGGCCTTAAAAAAGTTAGTTAACTTTGGATGGATGGATGGCTAATCTTCACTAATAAGGGCCTTCCAGATATTTTGGACTAAACCAGTTTTCTCAACCTTGGCAACTTTAAGATGTGTGGACTTTAACTCCCAGAATTACCCAACCAGTACTATGGGTGTTGGATCAATCAAATGACTGTAGTAATAGCTTATAGACCAAAAATAAGCAATCTCTTTTGCATTTTCACAACAGTAAATTAGAATATTCTTAGAATCAATTTGGCCTTGAATTTACAAATTATTGCACAATAATATATTTCTTGAATTCCTTTACTCTTATATTTAAAGCGGCACTACAGACTAAAAATAACATGAAACAGTATATTAAAGTTTCTGGGCACATTTCCTTGATACTGGCATAGGATGATTGGATGTGCATAGGTTCTTTCCAGAGAGAAGGTTCTGTAATCAGAATGCCATAACTGAAAAGGTCCCCACTACTACCCCCACCATTTTCAAAGAAGAATCTCTTGAAGAAGGACTTTTCTAACACTGCATTTAAAACTGATGACAGCCGTATTCTCCCAGAGATATATGGTAGAAGCCAGGAAAATGAATGGAAAAACACATTTTTGTATGCATGATCTGATGATGCAGAGGTATATAAGCTAAATAAAAAAGGTGGGAGACAGATGGAGTACTGAATACCTTTTTTATGCAGAATATTTCCTTAATTTTTCTGATGAACTAGAATTAGTCTGTTTTCCTCACCTACTCCTAAAATCTCCATAACTAACTTTTTTCAGTTCTGCAGAGTCTGTTTGTGAGTTCTAAACCCAACTTTTATCTTATAGGCATGAATATAAATTTTAGAAGATTTCAGGCTTTGTGCACTGGAGTGCCATCTGGAAGCTTGATGCACCTCCATTTTCAAGTCCAGAATGTTTAGGATTGCTTCTCTCAAGGATGGCAGGGAGTGTGGGGCGGGGGGGGGGGAGCGGAGCCCATATAAATTGAAGAAGGCTGCTCTGTACGGAGTACTCACAGTAGCCTTCTTTCCATCACCCTTAAAATTGCAGCTATAATGCTCTAATGATCAGGCAGACAAGTAACATCTTCTTCTCTGTCTTCAACGTCACTTCCTCACCCCCAGTGTTTCCCACAAAGTTTTTTCATCTGATCCACACTCATATTCTCTTCTTACATCCTGGAAGCAGAGAAAATATTCAGGGAACAGCTTCATGGATCAATGTTCATTCTTTTTTCCTCCAGCTGATTGATAGGAAAGTACAAAGCATATCAGTCAATCTGATCACAATTAATCCAATCATGGTATAACCAAAATCCCCAAACCTCCACTCCAAACTAAAGGGAAATAAAACAGTTCGTACCCCTCCCCCATTTCTTCATTTCTCAATACACATATATCTCTACATTTGTTTGTTGGTTTGTAAACAAATGGAGAAGTTACCATGATAGGTCTGATGTGAGAGAAAATACTTCTCTTTTTTACAAACACTGAAATTTTCCAAAGCTTCCCAGAAATGTTGAAACCTTTCCTCTTTTACATTTAAAGTCCTGTGAGTTGTGAAGATGGAATATTAGTGTAACAGTAATTAGACAGCCAACTCTTTTTCCCAATAATTCTGACCGTGGGGATATGTTACTATAGCATCAGGATTTACTCTATTTCTGGGAAGAAAAAGAAAGAAAAGCTTCTGGAACAGGATGCTGAACCACGGTGAGCATAAGAGGAAAGGAGAGGGGGAAAAAAAAGTAAGGTTGGCTTGAGCCGGTACCTGGGAAACAGGTTATGGCAAGAATTCACACCCGTGGAAAACCTACAAGGTGGAAAACAAGGTCTGCGAGGTCACAGTGATTTGAATGGAAATTACAGATTTGCTGCAATAAACTGGAACTGAGGCAGAAATAGATTGATTCCACATCTGGCATGAAGTGTGAAGCCAGTCCTGAAATGGCACAAAACATTGATAGAAAAATGTTTTAAGGAGACTGAATTTTAAGAAATCTGAGAGTGCTCAGATGACAACTTCTAAGCCTGAAGACAACTGGCTTGGGCTGCCATATTTTGAGAAAACATGGAAGACTGGAGCAACAGAATAGTCTGCAATTGCAGAGTTTATAAAGGGCAGGGTATAGGTTAGTATAGGAGGAAAGATGCCATTAAGCCTGCAATGTGTTTCTTATAAAATAATGATGAGAAAACAGACATTTCTCAATATCTGATTTTTCTTTCCTGTTCAAATCTTTTCTTCACAAAATACCTGACAGGCTGTGGTGGGAGTAACCTTTTCTTTCTTCTTATAATCAGGTCTTTTTCAGAGGTCTTACAGTGAATACACTGCGAGGATTCCCTGTATCTGCTGCCACATTCCTTGGATATGAACTTTCACTCAAAGCCCTAAGAAAAGAAGCAGAGACAAATCCTTGAATTCCAGGTCAGTTTCACAGAATGCTACATACTTCCAAATCTGCTCCATCAGTAAAATCATCTGAAAAAGATGAATGCTGGAGTAGATATGGACAGTATCCAGTTGTTCTGCAAGCTTTTGGCACTTATTTTTACATTTCTAGATAATTGCTCGAAATGCTGTAATTTTTTTAGAAAAAGAAACTGTACAAAAGTAATTTAGCAAGAGTTACTGCTAGGCGCTCTGCCCGCCCCCCAAATTAAATATTAAAAAAAGGAGGAATGTACGATGGTTAAATGAAAAGCAATACCTCTACTTTAATAACTTTAGTTTAAATAGTGATATTGTAATTAATGAAGCATGAAAATAATTCTTGAAATGAGCCCTTTTGGTACCAGTATTTATTTCTCCATGTAATTACCACCATTTGCTACACACTTCTGCCACCAATGGACAAGCTCCTTAAAGCTGTCACACAAAAAGAAAACAAAACCTTCCACACTTTGTCTCTTCAACCAGATCCCGACAGTCCTTTCTTTCCATCTCCTGAAGCAAACAGATGCCCTATTCCTTCGATTCGGGGAAAAGAGTGGAAGTCACATGGTACTAAATCTGGACTGTATAGTGGAGGGGGTAAGATGGTGAGATCCAACTTTGCAGTTGCCTCCTGGATCTCTCATGAGGTATGAGGCCTAGCATCGTCAGGTTGCAGCAAAAGTTCCTTCTTGTGCTTCCCAGCTCTGCTTAATCATTGTTTCAAAGCTTTGAATGTTGCAATGTGGGACTCTAAGTTGACAGTGGGACCAAGTCAAGGAATTCCATGTCAATAACACTATCTGTGTCCCAGAGTTTTTCTGCTGAAGCCTGGGTTTGGAATTTTATTTTATTTTATTTTGCAGGTGAAGCTTTGTGATGATATTCCATGGACTGATGTTTCTTTTCTGGGTCATAATGATGAGCCCATGTTTTGTTGGCTGTCGTGATGCTGTGAAGAAATTTCTCAGCTTCATTCTCGTAAACACTGCTAGCAAATTTCAACTCTTGAAGCTTTCAACTCTGTCATCAGCATGCAAGGAACCCATCTTGCACGAACCTTCCAATACTGAAGAATATCTATAACGTGACCCATACATTATTCCTGTGAAATTCCAAATTTGATAGCAATTTCCCTTTGAATGGTCCACCAAGTGTCCTTAATCAGTATGTAAAACATTGTCATGTAAAACTTACTTGTTGCTATCACAGGTTATCCATTTCATTCTTGATCACACAAATCAAGTCTTCCTGGTTCACCATCTTTATATTTTTTGGCCCAGCAAGGCATGTCAACAGAGTCATCACCATAAACAACTTGTGTTCAGCAGTGAATTTCAAGTGGAGGGACTCCTTCGGCAGTCAAAAATGCAACCATTGTTGTTGCTTAAAGCATACTGACGAGTACTCAGCTGCAGGTTTCCATTTCATGAGCTGTTGCAACATAATCTTTTCTCACAGCAACTTCCCACCAACTGAAGAAAAAGAACAGATGCTGAAGAACCCACCAGAACTTCTAGTATGTCAGTACTACCATTTGTTGGAAAATAATAATAATAATAATAATAATTATTATAATTATAATTATTATTATTTCAGTCACTGACCAGCACAATACATATATATCCAAAAATATAATAAACCACTAGAACCATCATAGGTAGCATATAATATATAGAGTAAATCCAAAACCTATGAAAACTAGACCTAATCTAAAAGATTATCTAATCTAAGAGAGCTGAAATAAGCTATGCCATTTAAGAACAGTAAAAACATAAATATGTTAGCTGTCCCAAAAGTTGGCAACCTATAACATTTGAGGCATTGTTTTCATTCAATCCTCATACAGTATATGCCACAGACTACAGTTTCACTTTACTGAAGTTTGTGAAACTCTAATGTCTCTATTTTGGTTTTAGAATTTGGGGTTTTATAGATGCTTGGTCCTTTGCTTCTTCCCAAGGTCCCCGTGCACCTCATTACTGCTTTCACTTTCTGAGCGAAACCAATGGCATTCAGGTGATAACTGAAGAAATCTGATGATCTGAATCCTCTTCATCTAAAGTCAATAGTTATAAAGCCAAAAGCAAAGCAGTGATCAAAACTTCCCAATAATCAAACTTTCTCAAAAGTGCAAACTATAGCAGCTGCCTGTAATATCATTCTCTAGTGTTTTCTGTAAGTGATCAATTGAACCCATGCTGAAAAGAATCAAAGGGAGAAAAAGGCAAGTGATTCAATGCTGTCTTCCTGTTTTGTGTCTTTGTAAAAGCAAATAAACTTCTTTTCCCTAGAAGATAAGAAGGAATGGAATAACCTTCGATTTCAAGCATTTATATACAGTTTATGCTTTTGATTGTTCTTCATCACAACTATAATTTCAACTAAAGTTTCTTTCCTTGTTTTAGTGTTGTTGTCCATTCTGATTTCTGTATTTTATCATGCATAATTTACTATACTGCATGGGATATCAGATGTGAGAAGGGAGTGCTTTTAGCTATGCAAGATAGAATCACTACACAGCAGCAACATATGCGGCTGATGAGGACATCTCTACTTACAGTCGTTTGTTGTGTTAGGCTATTTTTTTCTTACGACTATGCACAGTTTGCACTGGTGGGAAGCACAAGTGTAATGGAAGCTTAGCCCAAATCAGCTTTCTCATTACAATGTAGTCATAGAAATCTAAGGGCAAAGGTGGCAAGTCAGTACAAATCTCATCAGTTTGCTTGTGAGGAAAGAAATGGGGAAGGATTGTGGTTAGGTTTAAATCTTAAGACGAGAAACCAGAATTTTGATAAGCAGGAAACTGTGGCACAGGAGTAGAGTGAGATAAGATCATACCTGAATGAACAGTTAGCTTTGAAACTGGAAAGAATAGCCAATATAAGCACATATTGTTGTTAACAAATGAGGGCATACCTTGCTCCTTCCCATAAACATTTGTTTATGTAGCTTAGCAAAGAGAGGGTTTTATTAAAGAGCAAATTGCTAGCAGGGATAGGAACACACTTGTTTCCCAGTTTTTAAAGTCCCCAAAGTTCAAACATTTGATGCAGTATTTATACTATAGAAATTTGGATTTCTTCAGAAAAGCAACAACATTTCTTCATTAACTTGCTTTCTCCCTTATCCATTCCCAGAACAGTTCCCACAATCTCAAATTGTTTTCACCACCTCCAAATGGTTTATCACATACCCACACACTGACTTTCTTTCTTGGAGGCATCCTATAAATAACAGAGGGTCAAAAGGTCCTTGTCCATATATAAATTCCTTCTAGGGGGCAAGATTGCCTCAAACGAACACAAAAGTGCACTGCTCTGATTCGTTCACAAATCACTTCCACACTATAAATGAGGGTTAGAAATTCCTCTTGCATTTTCCAAGATTCTGTACGCACCCTGAGACTAGCATTAAAGATACCTTACTGAAGCCTGTATAATTTTTGCTTCTTTGATCTTGCCCAACTGTGTGGGGCATGATGGTTCCATTGTACCCTAAATAGAAGAATAGCCTTTCTTTTGAGAGTGAGAAGGACAATTTCTCCTTTTTTAAACCAGATTGTTTTTATTAAACATTTTCAAACAAGTAAGCATAATATCGTGTGAAATAAAATAAAAATGAACAACTTAACATACACAAAAACAAAAAGAAATAAAAAACATTACACAAAAAGAAAATACATAAAAAGCAAGCAAGAAAACAAACAAAAAACTAGTTATAATTATATCCCAAGTTCACCTGATTTTCTATGTCTTTTAAAAAAAAGCTTTCAGTGTGGACCAAGCCTGTCCAAGATTTTTTTTCCAAAGGAAAAGATGTGACATTTTCTCAAGATGTGAATATATAATTTTCTCAAAAGTTGCTAAGTCATACAGCTCTGAAATCCAGCCTTTTATATCTGGAATTATAGTATTTTTCAGTCTCCCAAGGATTATTCTTTTTGCTATTATCACAGCAGAAAAATCCCATCTTTGTTCTGAACATCTTAAATTCCAAGTAGTTGGTACTTAATTCAGTACAATATGCTTGTCTTTAAAAACCAAAGTTTTCTCAATAATTCTGTCAACATATTGTATAATCTTACTCCAAAAGAGCTGTAAGGAAGAGCATGACCATAACATATGAGTTAAATTGCCCTCAAATTTCTTGCAACCTCAACATTAATAATCATTCATCTGTCCTTTAAGAAACATTCTTTTATTTTATTTTTCCTTTCCTTTTCCTTTCTTTTCACATAAAGCTTTCAAATAACTTTCTGTAAAAATAAAACTTTGCTCTCATTTGTCTTTTGAAGGGGTCACTTGTTAATCTGACATGAATGTGACTGTTGGCAAGCTTGTGACTAAGGCATGAATGACTATGAGCAGAACCCATATAGTTGGACAAAAGCTCTCCTGATTTGAGCAGGAGCCATGAGCCCAGGAGAACCCCCAAATTTCACACAGGTTCCATCTGGGGTATTATAACCCCAACCCTATCCAGAACTAAAGATGGAAAGTCCCCAGAACCAAGGGGCTCTAAAACCCTAAGCTACATGGCCATGCTAGGGCTGAGTTGAAGCCTGTTGTTCCCCATCCAGACCCCCACAGCCTCCAGATACTGAGATAGAACTTCTGTGGCATCACTTGGACAACCCAGGGTGGAGACAGAAAGCTCAGTATCATCAGTATTCTAATGATACTTTACACTGAACCTTTGGATGACCTCACTCAGAGGCTTCATATTAAACAGGAGGGGAGCCAAGTCTGCAGCACTCCACAAAGCAGGGGACATGGGCTGAACCTCTGCTTCCCAAACAGCACCATCTGGAATCAGCCCCAGAGGAAATTGAGAAAGCTAAAGAATACCAAAAATAAGTCAATATGTGACTTCATTGATTATAGAAAGGCCTTCATTTATGTTAGCCACGTCAAACTGTGGAATGTGCTTAGAAAAATGGGTATCCCAAAGTATCTAATTTGCAAAACTATTGAAAGGTCAGGAAGCCACAGTATGGATAGAATATGGTGAAACAGACTGGCTCCATGTTGGCAAAGAAATAAGACAAGGTTGTATACTTCTTATTCAGCCTATATCTGGAATATACATTGATGGAAGCTGGCTTGGAAGAAGACAACTGTTTTTAAAACTGGAGGAAAAAATATCAGTAACTTGCACTATGCTAATGACGCCACTCTGACGCTGAAAATGCAAATGATCTGCAAGCTGTAGTAATAAAACTCAAGGAGCACAATGAAAAAATGGGACTATATAAAGAAGACCAAATTGAAGACAATAGGTATAACAGCCACCCTTAGAACTGACAACAAAGCTTCTGAAGTAGTGGATAGCTTTTGCCTTTTAGAATCGATCAACAATGAAGGGACCAGTAAAAAAAAAAAAAGTCACAGACTAGCACTTGGTAGAGTAGCAATGAAAGCCCTGAACAAGTTATTCAGATGCCAGGATGTTCTATACCTACAAAGATCAGAATTGTGCAAACAATGGTATTCCCTGTGACACTGGATGGAAATGAAAGTTGGACACTAAAAGAAGCAGACTAGAAAGACTATTGATGCTTTTGAATTTTGGTGTTGGAGAAGAGTCCTGAGAATACCACGGATAACCAAGAAAACAAATGGATCATTGGACAAATTAAGACGGATGAGGTGTGGGAAATGGTAGCGGTGGCAGCTTGAGAGGCTGCTGGAGGGTAGACCGGGCACCGGAGTCAGAATGGCATCCAGGAGGCTTCCCAGTGTCCCAGTGGCAGCGCAATAGATGGAGCAGCACTGCTGGTCAGCTAGTTTCTCAGTGCATCATTCACTCATCCTGGCTCTTGCCCTGGCATTGGGGCCATGCTGTTCGTTTGGAAGCTCTGGCATGGATAATTGTTATAGGTGTTTAATATTTTTAAGGAGAGGGCTTGACCCGGGTTTTGTTGTTGTCATTTTATTGTATGTTTGATATTGTATGTTCGCCTAATGTAACTCCCATCATACCGTATCAAGCTTTACCCAATCCACTTTCTGACCTTATCAGATGTATTATCTCTTGAAGATAGTTATTTACATCATTCTGAATTTCATTTTGTGATTTAAGGATTGGTCTACAGTACTTGTCACAAAGAACCACAGATTGACTCCAGCTTCCAAGAGCAAAAACGTAGTAACTTTTTCTCAGTAATTATAAAGCAAACCACAGAGGATTTTTTTTTCCTTCCTTCCTAGTGTTTTTCCCACAGGTTGCAAGGTCTGCTTTTTTATTTCCCCCCAGATCAGCTAAATGTTGATCTATTGGTTGTTGCAGGGATTGACTAACCATCTTGTCACCCAAGCCTGACATCATGGGCTGAGAGTGACTGGCCCAAAGTCACCCAGCGGGCTTTCATGCCTAAGGCAAGACACAGGACACACAGTATCCTGGTTTCTAGCCAGGAGCTTTAACCACTAGACCAAACTGGCTCTCTGTAAAGCAAACTGCAGAATAGTTGCTAGCTATAAGTGTACTAAAAATGTAACACTGACATCTAGTGGT